ATCAGAGGACGCGAACGTGATCGGCCGTAATCGATATTACGGCGTCGTTGTTATCGTTTCGTGCACGTTGAATCGGCGAAGGTGAGACGGGCTCGTAATACAACGCTTCGTATAATATTTTCCCTGGCGCGATTATGGTTCCACGAGCAGCGAGAATTTCTGTTCCATCGTCGGGAAGACTACATATATTATTACATGGTCGATACACTTTTCTCGCGATCTGATTGCATGGGAAGAAGCTTGGACGCGACATTGTGTTCTCGAAGAATGGGAGTTTGGTCCTTGAGAACACTCGAAAACGTAAAAGAAATCAGTATTTATTATATTTTCGTAAAACTTTGAGATTTATAATGGCCAAAATGATAGAGAGTGCATTATACCCGGTTAGGAGTTGAGAAAACTATTTTCTCCCCGTAACGAACAAGATCTGATGGTCTTTCCGAGGTCGGAGATCGCGTGCAGGGTTTCAATAACGATCCAGTTTCGCTCGAAAGACAATCGTAAGCGAGTCGAATCGGTTCGGGTTAGGGGGATCCCGGCGGCGGAGCGTGCATCCGATGGGCGTGAGTTACAATTTTATGGAACGCAACAATAAGGACGGAGTGGGATTGTGCACGACCGGTTGTATATCGTCGCGTCGAGGTTAAGCGCGGAAGGGCCACCGTCGAATCGATTCGAGGATGGGTGGAGGGCCTCTGGCACACTGCAATGCCGTAGCTTCCCCGAAGAGAGCAAGATTTCGCCAGACGGAAAAGATGGAAACGGTGGAAAAGAGGGAAAAGATGACCAGACCGGGCGCAGAGCTATCTTCTTCTCTTTTTTTTCCCCCCCTCTGTCCCCCGTTTCTGATTTCTTTTCTTGCGCGAAGCTTCTTGCGCGTCGCGCCACCCCCACTGGAAATCCGAGGATTTTAACACTCGACACTCCGCGTGAACGGGGGACCTTTAATCTTTCGATTGCTTCCGACGCGCTGGGTTAATGGCTCGGCGCGTTAATTTTCCGGCTGAAACAGTCGCGAACGAGACGTAAACGAAGAAAAAGCTGACGCGAAATGGAAAGACAAACACTGTCTTCGTCACGATATTCAATCGAAACGCGTACACGCGGGCGGAAATTCCGGATCGGCTCTATCCGCGCGCAATTATGCGGTCATTAGCGCGCCGGTGTCCTGTTTTCGACGATCGCTAATCAGTGTCGATAAGGGAATTAGATTTCGCGCCCCACTGTCAGTTTCGATTGCTCCGTCAAAGGGCCTAGGCCCCGGAAACAACAGGAATTCTAGCACACTATTGGACTGCAAATGTTTGTGCATTTTGTTCTCAAAAAAAAAAAACTATAGAATGTACTCGATATCCAATGATATAAAAATTTTTTGTATTTCGGGGGTTGTAACAACCCTTTACGATGCCCCCGTTTACACTAGGTTTATGTGGTAAAATTAATGAAGCCCAATTTAATTTGATTATTAAGGGTAGTAGTGATATGTCTGATCAAAATCGATTTGCACTACTTGGAGAATAAATTCTGACCCATATGGAAGTATTAGTCATGTTTTTATTAAATCTGCACTTATTCTCTATGCTTTTACACTATTTCTACATGATAGGATTAAAATAACACTCAATTTAAATCGATTATCAATGATATTCTCAACATGTCCGACCAAAATCGTTTTATACTACTTGGAAACGAAATTTTGACCCATATCGATGTATCAGTCATCTTTTTATTAAATCTGCACTTATTCTCTATGCTTTTACACTATTTCTACATGATAGAATCACAATAATACCCGATTTAATTCGTTTATCAACGATCCTTGCAATATGTCCGACCAAAATCGTTTTGCACTACTTGGAGAAACAAATTCTGATCCATATCGGAGTATCAATCATCTTTTAATTAAATCTGCACTTATTCTCTATGCTTTTACACTATTTCTACACGATAGGATTAAAATAACACTCAATTTAAATCGATTATCAATGATATTCTCAACATGTCCGACCAAAATCGTTTTATACTACTTGGAAACGAAATTTTGACCCATATCGATGTATCAGTCATCTTTTTATTAAATCTGCACTTATTCTCTATGCTTTTACACTATTTCTACATGATAGAATCACAATAATACCCGATTTAATTCGTTTATCAACGATCCTTGCAATATGTCCGACCAAAATCGTTTTGCACTACTTGGAGAAACAAATTCTGATCCATATCGGAGTATCAATCATCTTTTAATTAAATCTGCACTTATTCTCTATGCTTTTACACTATTTCTACACGATAGGATTAAAATAACACACAATTTAAATCGATTATCAATGATATTCTCAACATGTCCGACCAAAATCGTTTTATACTACTTGGAAACGAAATTTTGACCCATATCGATGTATCAGTCATCTTTTTATTAAATCTGCACTTATTGTCTATGCTTTTACACTATTTCTACATGATAGAATCACAATAATACCCAATTTAATTCGTTTATCAACGATCCTTGCAATATGTCCGACCAAAATCGTTTTGCACTACTTAAAAAAATAAATTCTGATGCATATCGCTTTGAAATAGGATCTGTCAAAGCATCGATCATATTTCTATGGAATCTCTGCTCATTCTCTGTTCTTTTACACTAGTTTTTCTTGATGGAATAAAAATAATGCATGAAAATTATATAAAATTACTATCCTTGATAATCGAATTAAATTTGGGAATTATTTTTATTCCACCGCACGAATACAAGGCTTTTCATCACTTCCATTAATAAAACTATGAATTTGCGTAAACATCTGCAGTCCAATAATGAAATTTATATCAATATATTCGTTTTCCTTTTCTTTCCTTTTTCTCCGGATGATTATCGGTATACAGTGGGTCGAATCTCCCGATATATACTGTTAAAAAATTAAAAGCAGCTCACTTCCTCATATAGTAGTCTCTGTAGGATCTTTATCGATTCAAACAGGTCTCAGTCGAGCTCTAATTCATGCATCGATGCGAACCAAAAGCATCCCTCGCGAGACGACACAGAGGCTCTCAAAACCCCCCCACCAGTCTTATTCCCCCCCTCTCTCTCTCTCTCTCTCTGACAATTTTCGAACGATACTCGACAAAGCATAAATTTGAAAAAATATAATAAATATTCCGTCGAAGCCCAGCCGGACCTTTAGGTTTCCCCCTGGTTGCGCCACATAAAACGTAACCCGGGCCGATCAGTAGCCACACGCTCGAGTTGCCGCCAAACCAAGATCCGCCCCGAAACGTTTCACGTGAAAATCGTGGGCTGTTAATTACGTAATTAACCGGCAGAGTCCGTCCGGGGGGGCAATGGTCACCGCGATATCACGCGAACACACTGGACTCACGTGCTCCGACGATCACGAAATCGACTCGATACGCGGAGGGTTTTAATTAAATTCAATCACTTCCGGTTCTGGCAATCTATTCGTCTCATTAAATTCTTTAATTTTATGGTCTGGGATTTGGGAGCCTTTCGATCTTTAATTTCTTCGTAACACTTGGAGGATTTGCATGTACGGAAAATATGACTCCGTCGACAGCCACCTGGGGGAGTACTCGATGAGTTATGCGATCAGAAAAGTTTCAGGATGCTACCAGGGAAGTTTGTGTCCAGAAATGGGGGGAATATTTTTTGTTCGAAGGGCAAAACCACCCCTTTGCCCCGAAAGTTTCCACAGCGTTCCGGGGCGTGTGCCTTGAGACCCCGTCGAGGATCAAGGAAGTTTCTAAAATGAATTCCCCTCCCCCTCCCATCCCCCCCGGGGGAAAGAGAGTTAATTTTCTCACGAATATTCTCCAGGCTCTCGAAACCTTCGAAGATTTCACAGACAATCGTAATTCCTTGGCTCGCTGGGCCCTAAACGTTACATTCGCGACTCCGTCGAACGACGAATTGGTCACCACACGCAATCGATACTCGAGCCGGGGATTTCCAACGAAAACAGAAAAATCGAAGGCTTTAAAGAGCTTGACGAATTATTATTTTTTAATCAGTCGAAGTGTACTCGCTTTGTTTCCAACTTGCTACAAAAATGGCGGATCGTTGCTAGAACTGTATGCACCCCGCGCAAACTCCCAGGAAACACGCAATTAAGGAATTCTCCGTTCTCGTTAAGGAAAACTTCGAGCAGCGAAACGCGTCGTTTCAAACGTTCGAATGTTTCGAATATTTTCCGATCGAACTGCTTCAATTCCATTTCCAAACACCCCGAGAACAGTCGTTTTATTAGACCCTTTATCGATAAACTTTCCCCGCCCCCGCTCGATCAGAGAAGGTTTCCCGAACTTTCCGGAAGCAAAAATACAATTGTTCAAGTAATCGTTCCGGGGAAAAGGGTGGATTCGATCGTTTTGGAGCGAAAGTTCGTTTTTGCAATGTCGAGCCGCGCGTTTGTTTTAATTACCACAGCACCCGATCATCGTACAAACTCTAATCGCCACGGAGACACAATAATCCTTCAGCTTTCTCCTCCAGCTTGCAACTTGTCGCGAGGAAAACGTACCGGAAACGCGCTCGAGGGATCGACGCCATCGCGACGATCGAATGGTCGCCATTTCTTTGATACCGCGCACTCGAAATCATCCATACAGAGTTTCTTTCAAAACTTTGGATAGCAATATCTAAGGAAAAGAATGTTTCGAACAGCATCGAACATGTTCAAACCGTGTTCCAATCTCTTTACAAGGTTCTTTCGTTCGATCGATAAAAATTGTAGATTGGATTTGTAGAGCGTTCGAATGATTTTTGGTGACCCTCGATCGCGATTCGCGATGGCGCGTCGAACTCGCCCGGCGCGATCTCGATGTGCACAGTGTTGATCGATGTGTAAGAACGCTTTCACCGCGAGCACTGCATCTGTATACGTGTGATTGTGCCGCCGCCTTAGCGAAATCACGAAAACCATCAACGATACAACTACTCGATTGTCGTTACTGTGATTTTGTAACTGGGTGTTTCTTGCTTGCAGCACCAGAGCGCCGCCCAGGCATTGGTGAGTCGCATGCCCCTATCTCTTTTTTTCTTTCTTCCGGCGTTTCTGTGTTTCCGCGTTCTTTACACCGTTGGTTGCTAAACCTCCACATCAATTCGATATCTTATCTGAAACTTAATTGCAATTAACCCCTTAACGTTCACGCCCGAGTCCGACCGCTTTGAAAAATTATATTTCTTTTCCTTAAAACTGTACGCTAGATACAACATTGTAATCGACAAAAACAAATCCAACAAAGAAAACTGATCATTGTTGGTTGACCCGAGAAATATCAGCGTTAAGGGGTTGATCAAACGAAAGAGGAACCAACGTGTACAAATGTTTCTTAACACTAGGTTTGGGGAAGTTTGAAATATTGTCAACTCTGTCAGAGTCCACAGAAAAATTGAACAAGTATCGTAGAAGAATGTTTTAATAAAGAAGTTTCGGATGTCGATCGTTTCTCTTTAGTTTGTCAAACGGGCTTCGAACGACAGGTCCAAGTGGCTTTAGCAACCAATACACAAACGCGTGCATGACTCTGTGTATCTGTTACCGTGAATGACCGAAATTGGAGACTGTCAACTTTCACCGATGAATGTCAACAGATACGAAATACGTCGGTGAAAGATCGAATATTTCATTACATTGTTGTACATTCGGACCCTCTCCGGTGTGTGTCGACAATCACAGATATGCTCTGGTGGGGGTCCAAAACAGAAGAGTCAAAAAACAAGCGACTGGCTCTCTCCCGCCAAATCCTTTGTTCTGCTCGGAGTCAATCAGCTTTGTCAGTCTTATGCAAGCTTTGATAACGCGAGCAACGTTTTCTTAATTTCTTTTCCGATACCCTAATTTATACTAAATGGATACTGCAGTAAATCGTGATCTTTTTCTAACCCAGACCTAACCCAGACCTAACCCAGACTTAATTCAGACTTATTCCAGACCTAACCCAGACCTAACCCAGACCTAACCCAGACCTAACCCAGACCTAACCCAGACCTAATACAGACCTAATACAGACCTAACCCAGACCTAACCCAGACTTAATTCAGACTTATTCCAGACCTAACCCAGACCTAACCCAGACCTAACCCAGACCTAACCCAGACCTAACCCAGACCTAACCCAAACCTAACCCAGACCTAACCCAGACCTAACCCAGACCTAACCCAGATTTAATCCAGACCTAACCCAGACCTAACCCAGACCTAACCCAGATCTAGGGTCTGGGTTAGGTCTGGGTTAGGTCTGGGTTATGTCTCGGTTAGGTCTGGGTTAGGTCTGGATTAGATCTGAGTTAGATCTGAGTTAGGTCTGGGTTAGGTCTGGGTTAGGTCTGGGTTAGGTCTGAGTTAGATCTGAGTTAGGTCTGGGTTAGGTCTGGGTTAGGTCTGAGTTAGGTCTGGGTTAGGTCTGTATTAGGTCTGGGTTAGGTCTGGGTTAGGTCTGGGTTAGGTCTGAGTTAGGTCTGGGTTAGGTCTGGGTTAGGTCTGGGTTAGGTCTGGGTTAGATCCTTTCAGAAAGAGAGGCGAAAAAGTTACCTCACCCTTGTGACGTTTTATAGCGACTGAATTACGGAGAAGAAAATATAAATCTCCAACATGTTCATCACTCACCATTAGTGCATGGTGAATGTCAACATTTACCGGTGTAAGTCAGAAATAAGGGTGTTTAGCAAATATTTCGGGCATACACTAAGCGACTATGTGAATGTTGGCATTCACCGGTGAAAGTCGACATTCTCCAGATTTCGGTGTTTCACTGTAACATATCGACATTTTGCCGCGTGGTGCGCCTTTGATCGATTGTACTTGCTCGTCTGCAGCACTGACCGCGAGACGTTCCAAAATATTCCATTGTCAAACGATCTTCGACCAACGCACGATTTCTCCACCATTCGTAGATACAAAGTTAGACGTTCGAAACCTCCGATAGAGCCTCCATAGTTTTAGAACCCTTCGAACACCATTACAATTATAAATTAGTCTCTAAAAAACCCTCAATATCAAAATCCCCCCCCCCATTTTATCGTGGATCTCCAAAGGGATCCATGTTCGACTAATTTACAATCGTAACGTTTCTCCTAGCATGAGAATAATTTTATTAAATGGTATTTTTATCGTGACTTTTTGGATCGCCTCGCGTCGTAGATTATTTCGTGGTTCCCGGGAGGACGTAATCCCCCGTCCTTTCGGAGGATCGTTCGGGCATGTTTTGTAAGCAGTCGCGGCCAGATACCGATGTCCAACTTAGCCCTGCGGTTTAACACGTTAAGCGGCACCCGGTGGCTCATAGCTTTGCCCCCCCGTTGGCAGATGATCCACCGGTGATTCGCGCTGGGCTTAACCGTTTTATTCTCACGCTGCTTGCTCTTCTATCGATCTTTCTTCACTTACCAATACCAGTACGATCTTTCTTCCGTTTTAGAATCACGTATTTTTAGCTTTAATTACCGTTCTTTTGCAGGCTGGACCACGTTGCAACAATGGAAAGAACGCGATTCTTCGTTGAAAACATTTCTGGGCAAATTCGATGAAAAAATCTTTGAACAAAATGTCGTGTCACGTGGGGGTGTAAAGGGTTGAATTCACCCTCTTTAGCGATTATACCGACTTGTCAGCCAGTTGCATAATACCGGCTTAAACTTTAGTACCCTGTTAACTGCAACGGTGCATAACAGTGTTCTGAAAGGGTACGGAGCCAGGGGCCTGATAGAAAATATTTGAGTCGAGTAACATGGTCCAAGGGATTCGAAGCATGGAATTAACGGGCAGAAGCAGAGGGAGGAAAAGTCGAATGGCAGAAAGGTATAAATATTCAAGGGTACAACGTCGAGGGGGGGGGAGGGGGAGCTCTCGAGTCCCGCCCCCCGCGATTCTCGGCCGCGCCCTCATTGTCACCTTCGACTTTAGCCGTTGCAGCTCTGATCTATCTCGCTCTCTCATCAAGCACCCTTTTCGTTCAGGATGCACCGGTGCAGCCAAGTCGCTCCCGCGCATGAGAAGTGGCAGCTGCGACAAAAAAGAATCGTTTATCCGCACCCTCAACCCCGTTTCCGCATAATAGATACGTAGACACGTACACACACACACTTACACACACACACACACACGCAACGTTTCGCTTCTCCGCACCAGAAAAGAAAGAGAGAAATATACCGGCGGGGCTTGAGAGCGCGGTTCGATAACAACATGCATCCCCGGTATGTACGAACGAATCGAAACCACTTTGGGGATCCCCGGGTATGTACAAAACGGCTGTGAGTGCCAACTGATCGAACCCACTTCGTTCCGTTCGTTTTTAACGTCGTGGCTGCGCCGTAGATCGCTCGACGCGCATTCGATTCGCCGGAGGATGTCGATAAATGGTCTTTCGCGTTGGTTTGCAACCTTTATTATTCATGGAACGTCATTCTTGAGGTCCGAGGATTGTAAAAATCCACCTTTATGCTTGTGATATTTCGTAATTAAACATCGAAACTGAATTATGTACAGAAGGGCAGTGATTCACCGGAAGTTCGGACGGGGATGATGAAAAATGGTCTTTTGCGTTGGTTTGCAACCTTTATTATTCATGGAACGTCATTCTTGAGGTCCGAGGATTGTAAAAATCCACCTTTATGCTTGTGATATTTCGTAATTAAATATCGAAACTGAATTATGTACAGAAGGGCAGTGATTCACCGGAAGTTCGGACGGGGATGTTGAAAAATGGTCTTTTGCGTTGGTTTGCAACCTTTATTATTCATGGAACGTCATTCTTGAGGTCCGAGGATTGTAAAAATCCACCTTTATGCTTGTGATATTTCGTAATTAAATATTGAAACTGAATTATGTACCGAAGGGCAGTGATTCACCGGAAGTTCGGACGGGGATGTTGAAAAATGGTCTTTTGCGTTGGTTTGCAACCTTTATTATTCATGGAACGTCATTCTTGAGGTCCGAGGATTGTAAAAATCCACCTTTATGCTTGTGATATTTCGTAATTAAATATTGAAACTGAATTATGTACCGAAGGGCAGTGATTCACCGGAAGTTCGGACGGGGATGTTGAAAAATGGTCTTTTGCGTTGGTTTGCAACCTTTATTATTCATGGAACGTCATCCTTGGGGTCTAAGGATTCTAGAAATCCAGTGTTATGATCGTGGTACTTCGTGATTAATTATTAAAATTAAATAATGTACAGAAGGCACGATGAGAAAGTTGTTTGAAATGGTGGCAAAATTCAATGATACCAGCAGGTATCGGTGTGTTTATTTGAATATTTACACATCTCTGAGACCTAAAAAATGATGTTTCGATCGAGAGTTAGTTGATATCGAACGTGATTCATTTTGTTCTGGATATTCTGATAGTTTCTCGTCGAGTTTGGTAATAATTTAACGCGTAACATAGCTCAGTTTGATCACAGCGAAAGTAATAACGGGAACAGAAGTGGACAAACTATGTGGATCGTCCTCCATATTAGCAACGTTCAGTGCAAAGTGGAAAGATCAGTTCCGGGTTAAGAGGAATTTATAGCCTGGGAGCTTGGAAACATGATTCCCGGGTTAAGGGGAACGAATTAGGTTGTTCTGGAAAATATTGCACGCTATTAGTCACTTTGCTTCTTGTTCGTTTTAAAACGACTGCAAAAGTACGCGCATTAAACTCTGTGCATCGATTTACACGCGGTATAATTTCGATAAACATTACAATTTTTGTGTTGTTGCTCTGTTATTATAAAATTATGGTTCTACTCGGGGTGGACCGATGTTTCTCAAACCGAAGGGCACTAAAACTATTGGCATTTATGAATTTTTCCCTCGAACTGCGTTGGTAACAGCTCTTACGAAATTTCCATACTCGGAGAACACATTTTTTTCGCAATGAAATATTCATGGAATAAATATATTAACCGAAGGGGTTCGATGAAAAAAGACAGGCGCGCTCGAAGCGTGTGTAATTTTTCATAGTCCGTCCACGCGAATAAAAACACCGACATTAACATTTCTAAATTCGAACAAATATAGTTT